ACCTTGACTTTCTTTTTTGGACTATTAATCAGGCCAATGGTTTTAAATGACTAACCCGATGATTATACTGCACAGTCACAAAGAGATAACGACTTGTTTTTGCCTGTTTTCTTTTCTTGTCGGACAAAACAGATATACGCAAGGCTTCAACGTGATCTCTTCGCGGCACTCACTGAACTAATTTTACTTAGCATTTTTGTTTGATAAATGAATTTAATTTAATCTAAAATTCAAGTAAAATCTCCATGCCTTCCTACACCCTGTATTATTTTAATGGCCGTGGACGAGCCGAAATCTGTCGAATGCTTTTCGCATTATCATGTGTGGAATATGACGACTTTGAATTACCTTTTACTGATTGGAAGAACTTCTTTGAATTTTGAGTAAATGATAATATATATATATATATATATATATATATATATATATATATATATATATATATATATACACACACACACATATATATATATATATATATATATATATATATATATATATATATATATATATATATATATATAATTTCGTCTTGTTTCTTTTATCTCTTTCTTTTTTTTTTTCTTTTGCCAGGACTTTTGTAATTCAAAATTATTGGAATATTTTTTTAGTATTTGATTTTTTTAAATTATTATCTGTAAATGGTTTCATTTTTTTGGTCGCTTTTTTGGCTGGGGCAGTAGAATATGTCTACTGCACCTCTACAGAGGTGTAACTCCCTCTTCTCAATGAGTACTTCTGGGTTTGACGATAAACTACATCCAGCAGCAAGATCGGAAGATTGAAGGTCTTGAGAAGCGTAATTGATGTTGTTACCAGCTCCACCCTGATCGTGGGTGGTAGCGGATGTTAGGGTCCCAGCGATCCACATGTACGACACCCCCATACTAAAGTCAAAACACTAGGAAATTATAAAAATATCTTTTTATAGTAAAAATAGCAGAAATACGTTTTTATATTAAAATTACCAACAATAATTTTTATACTAAAATTACCAACAATATATTTTTATCGTAAAATTTACAACAACTTTATTATAGCAAAATTACCAACAATACATATTTATAGTAAAATTAAATACAGGATCACCTAGGACGGAAGAATTGTCCTTCCTAGACTGGTTTTCAGCCAAGGCAAGAACTCAGTCTACACTGCCTTTTACCATATATAGGGTGCGATGGATAAATTGTCATCTAAATTACGCAAAAAAGAGGTTACTAGAAATGAAAGACAATTAGTGAGGAGAAAGGACGATAAAATAACATTATTCAGGAATACAGAAGATGGCGATTAATGTTGTCTTAATCTTTTCAAGATTGTAGTTCGAATTCCAGTTACTTACGAGCGGATAGCCTTTGGAAAGGCATGAATGCTTCTCTTCTCCCAGTTATAGGTTGTATAGCAGGATAGACTGTCGTATAGCCTTGATTGGCAACCAGTTTACTACAGAAAGAAACGGAAGGGACTTCAACGGACATCGAATTTTAAGAGATATATTTACCAAAATTACACAAAAATATTTTGAAATACTAAAGAGTAAATTTATTCTATAAAATAGCCATTGGCTTCAACCACGACCCCCCACCAGATGATTTCAGAATCCCCTGCAACTCTTCCGGAGGGTCTCGTTGTTTAAATTGGTGGTTGTTGCTAATTGTCTGACAACCACGACAGGTTTCTCCTGCTTGTGTGGCATGGTGCAGAGTCCTGCTACTAGATATAGGGTCTTCCAGCAGCCACGCTCTTGACCGAGCACTACCTCCTCAAGACAGTTGATGTAGACTTCCGTGTTGAGTCTGAGTTCAATAGTTCTTTTCTTATCGGAATGATCACAGTGAGTTTCCGAGCGGTCGTACCTTCGTAATCACTATAAACCTCATCGAACTCTTTCCGATGTACTGTCATCTAAATACCGTGAACATATATATATATATATATATATATATATATATATATATAACCAAGATTTTTTTTATAAATTATTTGTGAATAAGTCCTGAAAGTTTCATTAAAATTCGACAATTATTTAATTTTTGCCAGAATTTCAAAATTAATGTGCTTTTCACTGGAAAAAGGCGCTAAAACAGTAAAAGTTTCGAACGAGCTAGAAAGGATTAATAAATTTAATAAAATATTCAAAAATACTTTGTTCTTTCCTCTTAATAATAACATACACATTTTGACGATAAAACTTTGTTTTTATCAAGATTGGCTTTTTTTCATAATGCCATAAATTCGTGTAAAGTGACAGGACAAAGTTCCAGACAATGAAGTGCTTCAGCGTCCTGGGATGAAGGACATCCACGCCATCTTACTTGGCTATCAGCCCCGGTAGATTGGCAACGTCAGCCGCATGGACTGACGTCAGTCGCCTCCCAAAGAGATTACATATATATATATAATTATCATCCAGAGTTATCAACAAGTTAATCAATGTAGGTGTGATAAGGTCTTCCGACCGATCTTTTGCTGAGCAATAAGTTCCATAGGAGGGTGTCACTCACAAGTTCTGACTTACTTTTCCAGGTGTGACCAGCTAGCCGAAGCCTTCTCTCTCTCTCTAAGCGAAACTGAGATAGGAACAAGGTGTCCAAACAGGCGTTTATTTGTTGGGTGTTTCTTCCAGCTGATGTCCAATGCAACTTGTAACATCATTGTTTGTATTCCGTCAAGTGATGCATCTTGGTGTTTCGTCAGTGTCCATGTTGTTGAGCCGTAGAGCAAGACAGATTCTTAAGAAGTCCCTCTTAAGATTCTCAGATAGGGAGGACTACTAGATGGTGCTCAGACCACTAAGGACAACCCAGACCTTGCCTTTGCGGATTTTGATGTTTCTCTGTCTCACTCGTTGACTGGATGTTGCTGCCGAGTTAAACAAATTCCTGGACGGATTTGATGCTGTGTAAAAATATTTTTTAAAAAATCGAAAGCTTAAATCCATGTTTTTGTAGATGTAGAGTTCATCCGTCTATCCCGAACTATAACAAACCGATCACAATTTAAGCAATATAGTTTGGACTCTGAACTTCGATTCTAGACGATTATTTCCGCCGGAAATACATGTTCTTAGTTCTTTCTTTTTTTCCCCTTTTTTTCCCTTGGGTATTAGTTTGTTCATTTACAAGCTAAAACACCTAAGGTTTTGTCGGACGAGTATAGCTGCTTATATTTATAAGATTATTAGTAACATATATATATATATATATATATATATATTGAATATATCATTTACAATATAAGGTTTTATAGTATATATATTTATATATTATATCATATATATATATATATATATATATATATATATAATGAATATTATTCATTTTAAAACACCTAAGGTTTTGTTTGTCTTATATTTATAAGGTATCATATATATATATATATATATATATATGTATTGAAATATTATTCATTTACAATACCTAAGGTTTTGTCTTATATATTTATATTTATAAGATTATTAGTATCATATTATATATATATATATATATATATATGTATTGAATATTATTCATTTACAAAAAAAAAACACCTAAGGTTTTTTCGGACGAGTATTTTTATTTATAAGATTTCAAGTATCATATATATATATATATATATATATGTATTGAATATTATTCATTTACAAGCTAAAACACCTAAGGTTTTGTCGGACGAGTATAGCTGCTTATATTTATAAGATTATTAGTATCATATATATATATATATATATATATATATATTGAATATTATTCATTTACAAGCTAAAACACTTAAGGTTTTGTCGGACAAGTATAGCTGCTTATATTTATAAGAATTGTATTATATATATATATATATATATATATATATATATATATATTGAATATATTATACTTTTATCTTGGCATACTTTGGATTAAGCAATTTATGTCCAACCTGATTTTTATGTTTCATGAATGGTCTCAACATTTTTTATATATATATATATATATATATATATATATATATATATAAATATATATATATATATATATATTTTACATTTTATGTTTATACATTCTTTTTATAGATACAAATATTTAAGAAAATACCCTGTTTTATAATAAACAGTATTAAATAACATTTACCGGCCTGAATGTCCGAGAAATTTTCATAGAAAATATTCGTCCTCCGACAGGTATCGAACCTGTATCCTATACGGAACCGTCATTTAGCCTGACGTGCTTTTACCGATTTGGCCAGAGAGGAGCGATCGGTTCGCAAGGTCGATTTTACTCTCTTTAAACTTTAATCTTCCATAATTCTCTCACGTACATTCATATCAGGCGTATCAAATGTAAACAAATGACGCCACACATTATGAGCTGAACAATGTCCGACAATTATTTAAAGACATTTTTATGTTTATACATTCTTTTTATAGATACAAATATTTAAGTAAATACTCTGTTTATAATAAACAGTATGAACAACATTTACCGGCCTGAATGTTCGAGAAATTTTCATAGAATACTGTTTATTATAAAAACAAGAAGAAGGGGATCCATACCTTTCCCAAGAGTATTAGCACGTAAGTGAATGCAATGGATTCGACTGGAATTCGAACTCAGCTCTCCGATTCCTCAATCCTAACCGCTATCCATTATTCTACTGTGCCTTATTACGAAGAATAAGGTATTAAAAGAGAATATTCATTATGAAGTGGTCGATGGTAAAGATATAACAAATAAAAAATAACAAATATAGGCTAAAGTGTTATCACCCACCGCTCTTCAGAGCCAATCGAGTAAAGACGCAATATAAATCACAGATAGGTAACGTTTAGACTCAGTATCAATTTCTTTCTGTTTACAGAGGGAAGGCTGCTCAACCTTATTATAAATGGTCTCAAGAATCGTTTCTCCAGACGTTAGCTTATTTTTGTCTTATGCTTACCTAGCTCCCGTTTAAATTCTGTAAGTTCTATTTTTTAATCCACTTCTTTGCTATCCGTGCCAGAGAGAGACGTTCTCACAGTTTATTTTATCTTTTCAGCGTCCTCGATGTCTCTGTAAATGTCGTCTTGTATTTTAGTTTCAACAATAATGCATCTCATCATGTGCGTTAAGATTCAGTCTATCTATCTATCTATCTATCTATCGATCTATCGATCTATCTATCTATCTATCTAAGGTTCATTTTATGAATCTACATCTTTCTCAGTTTGAAGACGATCTTTATATCTGTCGCAAGCTATTCATGTTTTTATATCTATGTCCGACGGTTCATATCTATCAATCTCGTGGTGTAATGGTTAGCAAGCTTGTCTTGCTAGATCTGTTACTACTAAAAAGTGAGTTCGATCCTCACTGGATGCCCCTTACTTTCGGCCTTGTGCCACATCTAAGCTACGCTTGGAAAATCACTTTTGGGCACCTCGGCGTGGTGTAATATTTAGCAAGCTTGTCTTGCTAGAACATATTACGACTGAGTCGTGAGTTCGATCCTCACTGGGTGCTCCATACTTTCGGCCTTGTGCCACAACTAAGCTACGCTTGGAAAATCACTATCTATCTATCTATCTCAGTCTTTTCATATCTATCTATCTATCTATTAGTTTCAGCCTGTTCATATCTATGTATGTATCTATATATCTATCTGTTTTTTTTGGCTCGGTCTATTCCTAATCATCTATCTATATGTCTGTCTAGCTATCTAAGACTGTTCATATCTATCTATTTATCTATCTATCTGTCTATCTATCTATCTATCTACACAAGTCCTTTGTTTATCTATATATCTATCTATCTATCTATCTACACAAGTCTTTTGTTTATCTATCTATCTATCTATCTATCTATCTATCTATCTATCTACACAAGTGTTTTGTTTATCTATCTATCTATCTATCTATCTATCTACACAAGTGTTTTGTTTATCTATCTATCTATCTATCTATCTATCTATCTACACAAGTCTTTTGTTTATCTATCTATCTATCTATCTATCTATCTATCTATCTATCTATCTATCTATCTACACAAGTCCTTTGCATATATGTCTGCCTATCTATCTATCTAGCTATCTATCTACACAAGTCATTTGCATATCTATCTATCTATCTATCTATCTATCTATCTATCTATCTACACAACTCATTTGCATATCTATCTATCTATCTATCTATCTATCTATCTATCTATCTACACAAGTCCTTTGCATATCTATCTATCTATCTATCTATCTATCTATCTACACAAGTCCTTTGCATATCTATCTATCTATCTATCTATCTATCTATCTATCTATCTATCTATCTACACAAGTCATTTGCATATCTATCTATCTATCTATATATATATATATATATATATATATATATATATATATATCAGTCTGTTCATATCTATCTATCTATCTATCTCAGACTGTTCCTATCTATCTATCTATCTATCTATCTATCTATCTATCTATCTATCTACCAATCTATCTACACAAGTCATTTTATCTATCTATCTATCTATCTATATATATATATATATATATATATATATATATATATCAGTCTGTTCATATCTATCTATCTATCTATCTCAGACTGTTCCTATCTATCTATCTATCTATCTATCTATCTATCTATCTATCTATCTATCTATCTGTTAATATCTATCTCACTCTGTTCATATCTAACTACCTATCTATATCTAGGTATTCATCGTTAAATCTCATGAAGTGAACGTGACATACATGGACAATACGCTGGAAAAAACTTAAATTCTTGCCTTCCCTAAGTGCATTTAACATTAATTCATTTTTAATCTTTTCTGATTACAGAGATGCCATGTTCTTGTCTGCCAGTTTTGGAAATCGACAGAAAGGTACAAGTACCACAAAGTATGGCTATTGCCCGATACTTAGCGCGGGAATTTGGTAAGTATAAATTACGTCCAGTATAGAACTTCAATCATGTTTCTTGTTTAGAAATGATAATTTGTACAACTCATGCTGAAAGCTTATTATTATTATTATTATTATTATTATTATTATTATTATATTTCTTGTGTGTACACATTTCTTTCTGGGTCCTGCCCAGAGACCTAAGGTTAAAAATGGCATCATGACATTTTCCACTGACCAATTAAAAAAATATATTTTTTACATAGATAAAGCCCTTCATAATGTGTGGGCTGTACTCGTGAAAACAATTTTTTGTATTTCTTTAAGGCATGGACTTCCAGTAATCCCTTCAATGGGTCTACTGGAATCTTTTCCAACCAAGCATTGGTCTTGTGCAGCAAAGATAAAACCTTCAGTTTCAGCTTTTAACCCTGCACTACGTAGCCACTGATGGGTACGAGGTTTGTCTACATCAGCTTCTTTGGTACGGGCAGAGTATTGGCCATGAAGCGGTTTGTCTTGCCATTGTTTCTGTATCTGGTTGGTTCCATTTGTTTTTGCTTTCTTTTTTATGTATTTTGAAGCTTCAGTCGGTGTATTGTGCTATACTTGTATTTCTGCACCCATTTGAAACTCCATTTTGAACTTGTTTTATTATCATTATTATTATTATTATTATTATTATTATTATACAATGAGATGTCACCACTCTAACAAAGTGACTCTAGGATGAGAATATACGAAACTCTCTATACTTATCAGGACACTCAGAGTTTTTAGGAGATACTAGGCACAAGTGCCTCAGACGAATATGTACGATATGTTCTAAGCTTTTGATAAATCTTGCATGTTTCTGACTCAAAGACTTTGTCAGGTTTATGTTTATTCCATTACTTACCACGTAGAAAACTCCACTTTCAATGAATTATTGTCAAGATTTAATTAACCAACCCGCTAAAGGGCCACAGAATCAAAAGATGCCTTTAGAGTTTTTCTACCTTGCCTTTTCTCAGACAGTCGGACTTGAAATTCCGACAGCACAAAAAGAAAAGTCACCCGTATGTCGAATACTAATAATTATTATAATTATTAAAGAAACAAAATAACTGACGTAATTCTTCCAATATTTTCCAATAGTTAAGAGAAGAGAACGATTTAAAAAAATGAAAAACAATATTTTGGCAATCACTGTAGAGAGTCACTCTAATGACACGTGGTATGTTTTTGATCATAGTAGATTAATGACTCTTCATAAATTTGCACTATCCTTGTATCAAAAGAACACAAGGGATTAGGGATTATCTCTTCTTTTTCTATTTTATCTTCCACTAATCGGATCGACTTTTGGTGCTCCAGGTTCCCATGTCGTTGTTTTGAAACATATTCACAAAAATCTTGCATGTTTCTGACTCAAAGACTTTCTCATGTTTATGCATGTACCATTCCTTATCTCGCTGAAAACTATACTTAGAATTTATGATTGGCAATGCTTAATGTACCTACCAGCTAAAAAAATGTATGAAAAGTATAGTACAGTGTAACCCGGATATAAGAGAAACCCGGATATAAGAGAGATTTTCTCTGGTTCCAAATTAGAGCCTGTGTTAATGTATATAAAACAGACCAAACCCGGATATAAGAGAAACCCGGATATAAGAGACTTCTTCTCCGGTCCTGACAACTCTCTTATATCCAGGTTACACTGTGTATATATATATATATATATATATATATATATATATATATATATATATATATACAGTGTAACCCTTCTTAAGAGAAACCCGGATATATAATTACAGATTTTTCTGGTCCCAATTTTTAGAGCCTGTGTTAATGTATATAAACAGACCAAACCCGGATATAAGAGACTTATTCGTTGTGAATGAGCATATCTCTTATATCCAGGTTACACTGTGTGTGTGTTGTATATATATATATATATATATATATATATATATATACAGTGCGTAACCCGGATATAAGAGAAATGCATTATAAGAGAGATAAAATCTGGTCCCAAAATTAGAGCCTGTGTTAATGTATATAAAACAGACCAAACCCGGATATAAGAGAAACCCGGATATAAGAGACTTCTCCGGTTTCCTAACTCTTATATATCCAGGTTACTTTTGTATATATATATATATATATATATATATATATATATATATAGTGTAACCCGGATATAAGAGAAACCCGGATATAAGAGAGATTTTCTCTGGTTCCAAATTAGAGCCTGTGTTAATGTATATAAAACAGACCAAACCCGGATATAAGAGAAACCCGGATATAAGAGATTTTTTCTCCGATCCCGACACTTCTATTTATATCCAGGTTACAATTGTGTGTATATATATATATATATATATATATATATAGTGTAACCCGGATATAAGAGAAACCCGGATATAAGAGATTTTCTCTGGTTCCAAATTAGAGCCTGTGTTAATGTATATAAAACAGACCAAACCCGGATATAAGAGAAACCGGATATAAGATTTTCTTCTCCGGTCCTGATTAACTCTCTTATATCCAGGTTACATGTATATTGTGTGTATATATATATATATATATATATATATATATATATACACAGTGTAACCTGGATATAAGAGAAACCCGGATATAAGAGATTTTTTCTGGTCCCAAATTAGAGCCTGTGTTAATGTATATAAAATAGACCAAACCCGGATATAAGAGAAACCCGGATATAAGAGACTTCTTCTGTCCGGTCTGAGTTAATTCTCTTATATCCAGGTTACACTGTGTGTGTGTGTGTATATATATATATATATATATATATATATATATACACAGTGTAACCTGGATATAAGAAAACCGGATATAAGAGAGATTTTTCTGGTCCCAACTTAGAGCCTGTGTTAATGTATATAAAATAGACCAAACCCGGATATAAGAGAAACCCGGATATAAGAGACTTCTTCTCCGGTCCCGACAACTCTCTTATATCCAGGTTACACTGTGTGTGTGTGTGTATATATATATATATATATATATATATACAGTGTGCCAGATATAAGAGAAACCCGGATATAAGATCATTTTTCTGGTCCCAACTTAGAGCCTGTGTTAATATATATAAAATAGACCAAACCCGGATATAAGAGAAACCCGGATATAAGAGACTTCTTCTCCGGTCCCGACAACTCTTTTATATCCGGGTTATAATATATATGTTTTTTTGTTCTCTTGAAGCCGCTTTGACTGTATACTCCCTTAGTTGCCTTATCCTTCAAGAAAAAGTAGGTTCTGTATGCGAGAAATGGAGTTGTAGGTTTAAACATATTAAATATTTTTTGTTGCAATTTGACACTAACTATTGCCAATGCGAGATTACATCAGTTACAAGAATTGGCTATCATTTCTTTCTTTCTTCGCTGAGTTTCGCTTTAAATGTTAATAGTTGCACTTAGAGTTTTTCCTACCTCGCCTTTCCTCAAACAGTCGGACTTGAAATACCGAAACCACAAAAGTAAAAAAAAAAAAACAAGTCAATCTCGAATAATTACAATTATTAAAGAAATAAAACGATTGACTCTTCCAATATTTTTCATCATTTAAAAGAACGCGATTTAAAAAAGAAAAAAATGAAAAAACATTATTTGACACTGTTAAACAATATTTTGGTAATCACCGTACAAAGTCACCCCAATGAAACGTGGTATGATTTTGACTTTGTTTAACTTCCAAAGTCTTGCGAGTTCAAATTCCGATTGATCATAGCTGATTAATGTCTTTTCTGATATTTGGTTTATCCTTGTATCAAAAGTACACAAGGAATCAGTGATTATCTCTTCTTTTTCTATTTTATTTTCCACTAATCGGATCGACGTCTTGTCAGCTTTTTATATTTTTGTTTTGAAAAATATTCACAAAAATCTTGCATGTTTCTGACTCAAGGACCTTGTCAGGTTTATGTTTATTCCATTACTTACCACGTAGAAAACTCCACTTTCAATGAATTATTGTCAAGATTTAATTAACCAACCCGCTAAAGAACCAGAGAATCAAAAGATGCCATTAGAATTTTTTCTACCTTGCCTTTTCTCAAACAGTCGGACTTTTTATCCCGACATCAAAAAAAGAAAAAAAAAAAACATGCGTATGTCGAATAAAAGAAACAAAATAACTGACGTAATTCTTCCAATATTTTTCAATAGTAAAGAGAAGATAGCGATTTAAAAAAAAAGAAAAATAAATTATTTGACAATGCTAAACAATATTTTGGCAATCACCGTACAAAGTCAGCCCAATGATACGTGGTATGATTTTAACTTTGTTTAACTTCCAAAGTCTTGCGAATTCAAATTGATTATAGTTGATTAATGAATCTTCTTTCTTTTGCTGTAACTCTTTAGGAAAAGAACATAAGTGATCAATGTTTATCCCTTCCTTTTCTATAACAATTTACTTTATCTTTTTTCTACTTTATTCTCCACCTATCTTCCCGGCCTGTTGTTTCTTATCTCTTTGTATTGTAAAATCATACAAATCTTCATCTTTAGGACTCAAAGACTTTGTTAGATTATGATTCTACCATTCTTTTGATCGCTCAAAGCCCCACTTCTCGCACAACTGACAATGAATAAATAAATTCTTATCGAAAGTTGTGCATACAAAAGAAAATCCCACGTCCATCCCGAACAAAATTAATAATAATTATTAAAGAAACCAAATAATTGGTGTAATTCTTCCAATATTTATCAACAGTTAAGAGAAGAGAGAGATTTTAAAGAAAGAAAAAGAAAAGAAAAACATTATTTGACAATATTAAACAATATTTTAGCAATCACTGTAGAAA